AAGGAGTGAGAGAGCGTGAGAGAGGGTCAAAGTCTGCAGTCGTGAACTAAAGTCAGAGTGACACTGGCCTGGATCTTAGCTGAGCTCTGGATCTGACTGATGATAGAAAAACCACAAAGCCTATTAGAGTACAGACTAGAGTGCAGTGAGTAATGCCATTAACGCACACGCAGACACACACAGTGAGGCCGACTCTCATAGACTGGCTGCTGTGTCTCTTCTTAACAAGGTCGCTCGAGGACTCCAGACTGCAAGCGCTGCACGCATGCATGGGTGCACACATGTAAGACTCGCACACGGACACAACTGCACTTGTGAACAGTCGCTTACTTCCTGTTGCAGAATAAAAAGGAAGGCTGAGCAGCACAAGTGTGGAGGGGAGAGGTGCAGGACTAATCTCCACTTCTCTTTATACATCTGCTGCACTTAGAGGCTGATGCAGACTCATGTGGGCTGGAAGATGGAGCCTTGAAGCTGATTAAAGGTTACTTTATACTTAAAAAGCCTTTTTGTGCACACATTAGCACCAATTTCTCTTGGAAAGCAGCCTGCATGGCTGTGGATTCACATCACACTTGTCTAGGTTTCTCTGCCTTCACACTTAGACGAAATCTTTTTTTTTTTGACACTCTGCTGTGTAATCCTGTGATTAACGGGCAGCAACACACAGACACACACTGACTCGCACAGGCAGGTTACATTGCAAACATGCACCAACTGCTGAGACAGCAGTGGTTGGAACTGCAGCCCTGTTCGACCTGTCAAATTTTGTCCTGACAGTTTAAGCTCCCAAACAAACAACCTCTCACTCATCATCATCACAGAGTCAGCCTGACTCAGCATGGAGCTCAAGTGCAAACCTTTCTTACGTGTGCAGTTTGGTTTTTTTGGCCATCTGAAAAGCTGAACTCTGTAAGGCCAAGAGCGTATGCGTGGCGTTTTTCATTCCAAGCACTTTGATGGTCATCTCCAAGGACTCGCCACTGGAATGTCCATGCCTACGTAGAGATTATCCCATGATGTGAACCAATTACACACAAAAAAAAGACTTCTGCTCACATGCATGTGCCCAGCCACACCCTAACGCTCGCCTTCAAACACACCGAGCCTTGCAAAGTGCTGCTGTCAGCAAAGGAAAGGTCACTGGCATCTTTTGCCGTCTTGCTCAGTAGAGCCAACATGTGCAGCAGCGTCTGTCATTAGCCAGCAGCCCGATGAGGCAGACTGATGCACAGCGAGGGAGGGGAGGACGTGCCAGAGATGCAGATGGACGAC